AGCCTGCCCATTCGTGCAACAGCCGAGGCTGCTGCGTGGCCCTACCACCGTATAACTTAATGGATGGTTCGGAACCTATTTGGATCGTGTTAAGGTCCGAACTCCCACAAGCCATGTACGTTCAATCTTCGCCACATTGTATTTTAGACCGCGGTTCTCAAGCGTATCCTTCCAGAGAATTACTTTTTGCTCCATTTCCAACCGACTCTCGTCAACGAGCGCTATGTCTTTAGCCATGGCGTCTGGTCTGGTAGAGCTCTTTTTTTCTCCCCGTACCTATGACATTCACTGACAGTACGCAGACTCTCAACGAAGCTTGAGATCGATGATCGTTAGAAGAGTTTCATGGTGTGGCACATGATTTTGAACACCCTATAACTACTGCAATCCTAAATACTGCCCCTTTTTGTGAATAGGGGTTATAAAACTGAAACGCCACTGATTCAGCATCTTACCAGTGTTCAAGATACGGTTGAAGAGATCAGTAAGCGCGTCCAAACCAAGAGAACCCAACGATTTCCACGCTTCGATCTACCGGTCGAAGATGTTATCATGCCACACCACTTTACGGTTTTTCATGCGGCAAAGACAATACCAGCATTTGCAACAAAGACACACACGTTTAATTCATCGCGTGTACGTTAGAATTAAGCGCTATATTTTTCAGTCTGTGGCATTTCCTTTCGACAACTAACCTCTTACAGTTACAACGAACTCTTACAGTTCTAAAACATACCAAACCAATTCGTGCGGAACTTTAAAATAATTTACAATAATTATACAATTTATGAATCGACACCGATAATTACTTGGGATACGAAAGCGACTATGACGACTTATCGGTTACAAGAGAACAATTGACGACACAACATTATTTTACCATGGCAACATGTGGGGCACCATTTCTAAGTTTTACAAATCACAATAAATTAGTTAGGTACCATATACGACAAATTAGAAGCAGCGTCTATCTAAGCCAATCCGTGTTAAACTTCCGCTATAACGTGACACTTTAGGCGAGTTTAAACAACTCTTTGCTTACTGTTATTTTACAACAATTTAAATAAACTACAGTTGGGAATGAAAGAAAAGACTCGCCGAATCTTTTGTATTAGGGACGAATTGTGCCAGGGTCAGTTTTCCCGTCCGATAATAATGTGCCTTCAAAGGGAGATTGAACAGATTGACCTAACTGGCCTGGTAAATGTAGTACCATCTAAGTTTACATCTTTAATTGCCATCAGGTAAGACGGTAGCCAATCACTGGCCAGTTTAAGGGTCAAAAACAATTACGGACACACATGGTAACCGTCATGCCAATCCGATACTCTCCACAAAACATGAAATAATGTAGCACTTATCCTCTCACCAAGATTGTAGAAAACAGGTCAGTGTCTTGCGGTCGGTGTATTGTGTTACCTAACTTAAGCTTACACTTTATATATATAAAACTAAAGATTTCGTTTCACATGGAACCTCATTATTCAACATAGTACCTATTACATTTTTTAGGTAGCAAGCGAACTCGGTGTTCACCTGATAATAATGTGAAGTGACATCCACCTACCATTGACATTTGCAATACCCGTGGGATTGTAGATGCGCAGCCACATTTTACTAAACTGGGCCCCGGCTACCCTACTCATCGGAGGAAGCGCAAATGTATGACTTCCACTTTACTCCGGTCTTCTGTGAGGTCGTGGTAATTCTCCAGACAGACCTGACCATTTCTGCAACAGTGAAGACTGTTGCATGGGCTTACCACAGTTTAAAGTAAAATAAAATGAATAGGAAAAAAGAATAAAACATGCGTAGAAGAACAAGGAAATATTGAATAATTTTAAATGTTACGAGTTTTTCACATAAAAATGGTTTTCACATAACCATACATAAAATTCTGACGTCTTCGCGTCATAATATTCATTGATTTTGTTGCAATTAATCACATTCTAACTTCAATTCAAATATAGTGTCGTTATACTTTTAATTATATCACTAGTGATTAATAAATTTATTGCTGAAAAGCTAATAAATATTTCAACATTTTCATAAAGCGACAGTCTTTATACGCGAATTGTCCTTTTACTCGTCGCTAGACTTAAGCCGTATATTATTAAAGTTTCAGCAAGAAATAAAAATGTAATACTTTCCAATCCAGATAAAGTACTGATATGAGGATGTAAATAAAAACCTTTACGATTGTATGTTATGCCGCAAATTTAAAACACAACTTTGAAATTAAAGAAACTTGTATGAACTTTTCCGAAATTTTACGCAATGCTTCGAGAAGTAGAGTAGTCAAGGGACCTTGTTGACCCATGCCGTAACGCCCCGGAAGCGTTCGTTTACTTTTCCCAACTGGTTACTTGTTCCCAATTATTAAAGCCGCAATATCATTGAATATTTTGCAATACCTATTAAAAAAAACTTAATGAAGTTTATCACGACGAATGATTTAATATTTTGATATACGAAACTTACACTTGAACTTATCTGACGAATGCTCTTTGCTATTATTTTATTTTGAATAAGCTTAACTAGCGTTATGTCATTAAATTCGTTTTAGCGAAATCAATTATCTGAATTTTGTTCCCGCACGCAACCAGATCAAGCAAAATCGTAATACAACAGCAGTGCGCCCAAGTCTCTTCCTGTATGCAAGCTTAAGGCGACATTGACATTTAGTTGGAACTGTGAGAGGGCAGATATACTTGTCAATTGGTGTGAGGGAGATGAAGCTTTTCGAAAAATGCGCATGCAATATAGTAAATCGGTCTTTAATCTACATACATCAGTTGCAAAGATCAAGTGTGTCCCGCGCGTTCGCTTGGTGACTGCGTCCTTGGCCGATCCGTCGTCCCTTCGAAACATGCATGATGCGCCCGCATAGAGCGCTTTTTGCGATGAATAGCCATTACCCGCTAAATTGTGAGGCCGCAACGCCTAGTTGCAACTGCTACTAGTTAACACGACACACATTGGGCACACGCATACCTCGGTCTCGTATACTCACTAGTAATTAGGCATGGATCTACAACAATAAGGCTTTTTGACCTTGATCTCATTACGAGCGCCTCCACCTGTCTGCATTTGGAGCTTAAAAAGTCACCCGGTCGTGAATGTCTACAGAAATAAATTAGTTGTAAGGTGTTACAAAAAATGGTAAGCCAGTGCACCTAACGTCGATTACATGAAGTGATTAAAATGGCAATTTATGCGGTAAACATTAATGTTAGGTTGGTACGCGTAACATTCGCATGCCAATATGTATTTGATAGAAATTCACGTCATTGAAATACTCAAGTAGACCAATAATATAATAAATGTTCATATGCGAAACAATACGTTTTAACAGGTAATACAGGCCGTCCGGTTTGTGCTAAATTTAATCCAACTTTTAATTTTTATTGTAATAACTGGCCGCGCGAAAAAAGACAACAGACTACAAGTTACAAAACGACTTGTATAGTGGTTTTTGGTGAGAACATAATATTGTAATTGGTTAAAAGTGATATATGACCATATACGATCGCTTAACTCATTACAAGTACACTTAAAACCTTCGCGTAGTTGTTCAAACATAATGCATAAGATGAAATAGAACATGTGTTGTCTGGTATATGCGTAGATAAAGGCACGTTTAACACGATAATTCAAACAATAATTTAGTAACAGCAATAAAGTTGTAAATCGACGATCGTAATCAGAGCAATAAAACTTGGTTCAGTCAGCAAATGCAACCGCTATCAAATACTCGATCAAACAAAATTATAAAACTGGCCGTTGATATACTTGGCACTGGCTAACGAATGTTAAGGAAGTGAATGTGACCGTGATTTTTAAAGTACCTCTCGTTTCAAAGTACACGTGCACACACATTATAACGTAGAGCGGCTTATTACATTTAATTCGTTATACTGTCAATAGGAAAATTTGATAACGTTAATTAAACGAGGCATTTTGATATTCAGACTCGGTCTGTGTTGGTCATACAGTATTAGTGAAGGTTACGTCCTTTTTAGGGTTCCGTATCGAAAGGGGAAAACGGGACCTTCTTACTAAGACTCAGCTGTCTGTCTGTCCGACTGTCCCCAGGCTGTATCTCATGAACCGTGTACAATATAGTTAAACAGTTGAAATTTTCACAAATGATGTATTTCTATTGCCGCTATAACAACATATACTAAAAACAATATAAAATAATATTTTAGAAGGGCACCCATCAAACAGATTGTGATTTTTTGCCGTTTTTACAGAATGGTACAGAACCCTTCTTGCGCGTGTCCGACTCGCACTTGGCCGGTTTTTTATTACCAATATTGGGCCGATTATCCTGTAGATATATTTGATCTGTAGTTCTTCTCTATTAGTAACTTTGCTAATAGGAAAATACTAATGAAGACTTTCGTAATCATTTTGCGACAAGATCATTAATTACGATAAAATCAAAACTGTCTAATGAAATGCATATTCATGTGTGTATTGGAATATGTATACAGTCCGTATCGTGAGGAAAACGTTAAGATGTGTGCAAAATCTAATTATAACCATAATATCTCTCTTCATGGTGGTAGGGCCACGCAACAGTATTCTTTCAGGTCAGGTCCATCCGGGTAAGTACCACGACCTCACAGAAGCTCGGCGTGAAGTGGAAGTGTTATAAGCGTTTCGCCTGGTAAGTGAGGTAGCCGGGGCTCACTTTATTAAAAGTTGGCAACGCTACTGCAATCCTACCACTTAATATCAGGTGAACCGCCAGCTCGCATGCCTCGTTCTCACTTAAAAAAATATATATATCTCGCTCCATTTCTTAATATCAATGTTTGTGTATGACAATTGGAGAATAATAACGATAATATACATGGGCCCATTGGCCCTCTATGCCCTATGTGAACTATTACATTATTTAATTAGATAGAAATTTTATGAAAAGGACATTAATATATAAACATCATGAGCGACACAGAACGTTAAATATGCATTCATGCATCTTTAAAAATATGCAGAATAAATACCACTCTATAACAGTACCGCTTACCATAACTTGGTGCATGAAAAACGTGCCTAAACTATGTGAGTATTGTTTTGCAAAGTGACGTCTCGTTTGCAAAGTGATATTTTTATATCATTTTTCAGCATAGCATAAACAAGTTGTCTGACGTTACATATACCGAATGCATTTAGGAAAGTCAAATATACGTATAATTTTTACATGGATTTGGAATAAGTCAATGCGAGGAATATATGCGTAGTGACTTATCTTTTCACAGTCAACATGTTTTTTTAAATATACTGACACCGAAGTAAATAATGTGCTAAATAAAAACTATGTATATATCATGCGGGCTCTTCTCGGTATTTCTCTGCGTGATAGAGTTCGTAACGAAGACATCCGCAGTAGAACCAAGGTAACCGACATAGCTCAGAGGATTAGCAAGCTGAGTAGCGATGTGCCGGCCATATAGCTCGTAGAACCGATAACCGTTGGGGAAGAAAGGTTGTCGAGTGGCGAGAGCCTCGTACTGGCCATCGCAGTGTGGAACGACCCCCCACTAGATGGAGTGACGACCTGTGCAAAAGTGCGGGAAGTCGATGGATGCAGGTGGCTCAAGATCGTACTTCTATGGAGGAAGCCTATGATCAGCAGTGGACTCAAACAGGCTGAAATGATGATGATGATAATGATGATATATAATAAAATCATTCGCATGCTAGAGTCTACTGAATTATAGGCGAGATAGGACAGTGTCTATTTGTTACTGTAAGCCTAAAACGAGAGTGATATTAATAGCCGACAAATGCATATATAGCATGTGGTTTTTTGTTGTACTTTTCAATTTTTAGTAGTGCGGCTAAATGCGTTATGTAGACGATAATAGTTAAGTTGGGGCGTTGATTTGAGATTCGACGTCTCGAGTTCCAACTCCAGAACTTACAGTAATGGGCAAATAAGTTTTGTCCGATTATTTTTACTCTCCCTGTCTAACATGATGCCTATTGTGTCGCGATACGGTGGTAGGGCCACGCAGCAGCCTCGGCTGTTGTACGAATGAGCAGGCCCGTCCGGGTAAGTACCACGACCTCATAGAAGACCAGCGTAAAGTGGAAGTATAATACTTTCGCGTTTCGTCTGCTGAGTGTAGACGTAACCCAATTTTCAAAAGGTTGTCAACGCATCTGTAACCCTCGGGTGTGGCAGATGTCCATGGGCGGCGGTATTCACTTAACATCAGGTGAACTGTCTGATCGTTTGACAACTTTTCGAAGAAAAAAGACAAAAAAAAAATACGCTCTAATAAAAATAGATGGGGCAACGTATTGTACACCAATATTACTTAAAATCATCTGTGTCATATACATAAATCCATTTGGAAATGTCTGCACAAAAAGAACTATCTACGCCGCTCAACCGAACTGGTTCAAAAATCGGCGGTACCGGCAAGACAAAAGCGTCGGGAACAGTGAAAGTGTGAACGGGCTTATAAATAAATCCCACGAGACAACAGCAACCGGCTAGCTGAGTGCGAGGTGGCCCACGTCGTGCGGTGGTTGTACTTGACAAATCGCGTGCGGCGATTCTCCTCGTGCTGAAACTTTAAGCGGCCGTCTCGAAAACTCGAAAGTGAATCGGACAGATCCACATCGCGAGCAATCGAAACGAAGTGTTCACGAGCACGAGCTCTTGGCCGGTACTCGTCGATCGCTATTATAATACAAACCTTGGATCGCGTTGGGGCGTTTGCACTTGGACATAAATATTGCTTTCGACAATTACGCCTGTGCACTCGTAATGAGGTTAATATATTACTAAAGCGACCGATTCGCAAAGTGAACTTGCGGAACGGTAAATAGGAAGCTAACAGAATATAAAAACGAAATATTCTTGTGATTTATGTTAAAACGTATTTCGTAGGAAGCAATAAAGTGATCCGGGTCGTATCTATGTTTTGTTGTGGAACTTAATATGCTAACGCGCACATTCATTATCACCTACGCGTTAGCAAATTATTAGTTAACTGAGGAGTAAGGACATCACTCCCAATTTTTATTATAGAAGCCGCCGTACGTACTGTTATTAAATCATAAATATCAGGAATCTGCATATCCCGTAGTGCCGTGTGCCCGTATTTTTTTATAATAATTAAGGTTAAACGCATACTTACGTCGACAGTTGTATCTAATTATTATAATATTATAGAACTGTAAGCAATTTAATTTTTTTAAGTACTGAACGCCCTTGAACACTTAATATGGCATTTTAATTCCTTAAAAGATATTCGCTTACAAACACTAAAATTCAACATACAAAACAAAACATACAAACAGGTGGGCAAAACATTAATTTCATTTTAAAAAAAATGTATTCATTGCCTTTAACATAAAACGAACCAATGGAACTCGTAAGCCGAATAAGTCGTGTATATGCTCCCAGCTTCGAGATTCGAAGGCAGTTGAAAATGTACACAAACGACATCTGTTCGCTATCGACCTTCGCAACTGTCCAGAAACGACCGTAGCTCGTTTAAAACGAAACCGCGCTCAATACGTCGTGATGGCGTGAGCGCGAAACGCTCTTAAGGGCTGAGAACTGACCTGTTCCTGACGGAGGTCCGGCTGGACAGGGTGAAGTTCCTCTGCGGCAGGCGGGGAGCGGGCGAGGGAGCGGGAGCGGGAGCGGGCGCGGGCGCCGTAGCGGGCGGCGAGGTGCGGGCCAGGCGGCCGCCCGCCGCCGCCGCGCTCGCCGCCAGTAGCACCACCATCCACCACTTGGGCATCGCGAGATCACGGGGCGCACGAGACGCGCAGGACACGCTCGAGAACGTACTGTGAAGCGACTGGCCGATTCGCGTGCTGTGCGCACTCGGCGACGTTCACTTTAGCTGTGGCGGTGGCGAGCCCGCCCCACTACGATGAAAGCGAGGGCTTTCACTGTAGCCGCCGCTGGCGCGTTGGGTGCTGGCCCAATCTCCGGCGGTGGCATCGCTCCAGACCCACCTGACGAGCGCCGTACGGAACCAGAGCGGCCCCGAATGTATTGCTCGGCCTTATCGTAATTTCGAAAATCGTCCGAATTGCGTAGTTTAATACTTCGTACGGCCGCATATTTCGATTCGGTTTAACTTTGGTTTAGAAATGTGACAAGGTTGTATGGGTGGTCTAATAAATAATACGCAAAATCATACCAATTGAGCTCTAAACAAACACATTAATTTTAAAGAACTTAAGGACGCGTTACTGATATCATGAGAGTATAAATAGCAAGATCTGTTATTGTAGTTTTATTTGTTAAATCTCGGTAAGGACAAACAAATAACAATATTGAACTGCAAAATTCGAGCCAAGATATGGGCTCTAAAACCAGTTTTCAAGTCGTCATCCGTTGATTTAGCAACCGTGTGGAACCCAAGCGAATTGGGAACAAACTTAAACATTGTTAATATTAAATTCGATGACAAGATTTAGTTTACGTTATATATTAGTTACATTTAGATAAGGCACAACTAATTAAGGCTATAAAATAACATTTTATTATTTTACCCACTTACAAAAATATTGCACCGTAGTTAAGTTCGCAATCCACAATAGGAATAATGCTCTAATACCCTTTGCCCAGCAATTGGCCATATATCACATAATATAGGCTGTTACTTAACAAGCAAGAGTAGCCTATACAAATATACTAAATGGTATATGTGGTATATTTTGAGTTTTTATTAGTTTGAGTTAATGTGAATTCTACATTGAACTGGCTATTCATTAAAATCTATACATATAATAAAAAATGTAACTGATCGTTGTCTGTACATGGAAGATATTTGAGATAAACTATTATTGGGGGCCTTTATCAAAGCAGTAGAACCCAAAATATTGATTGATAAAATGTTTGTTTGTATATCTGTCTGTGCGTTTGTGTGCGCTAATCTTGCAAACAGCTTCACCTAATTAGTTACTTACACTAATACATTGTAGTAACCTTACCACTTAATATTTAGTGTTTTATTTAAATCGGTTTATCAATAAAAAAGTTATATTAACTTAAAGAACCACATTTAATATTTTTGTGCGATAAAATGCTACATCATAGCTACAGTTGGATTGGATGAAACTATAGTTAACTATACATTTTGGTCTATAAAATGATGATGGTGGTAAGTTTTCAAAGCTAAAAAAAATCGGTCAATTGCGGGTCGGACTCGCGCACGAAGGGTTACGTAGGTACTTTTTAAGCACGATATAACATGTAGTACATACGGGCGGAGCCACGTTCGAAAAAGTTAAGTGTGAAATAAAAGCTTTGAATTTTATATAATTCTTTATTTAAAAACTATAAAACGGAAACAAAAGAAAATAAAAGCGGCAGATTCCACCAGTGCCAGAAAAAAAAAACAGGTCTTCGGAAAACAATAATGTTAAACAGTTGGACAAGGAGTCTTCCTGAGGTACTTCTTGCCCGAGGGTAACGGAACGATTGAGACACCCTGTGGAAACATTACACTTAAATTTTCCTCGGGCACCGTCGGTTGGACCATACACTCGTCGCCCATCTGAAAGATATAAAACATATATTACGCAAAAAAGCCACTGCAATTGCGATTGCTTACAAAGCAGCCTGGCGCAGGCGTTACCTATTCCGCCGCTCAAATGTCAATTCGTAAAACCGAGAGGAGTCAAGAACTGTGAGTGAGTGAGGTAGCCGGCGGCCCACATTATTAAAAGGTGCCAACACATATGCAACCCTACGGGTGTTGCAAATGTCCATGGGTGGCGGTTATCACTTAACATCAGCTCGACTGAACTGAACTGCCAGCTCGCTTGACAACTTCTCAAATAAAAAAATAAACTGAAAACTGAGGGAGAAAGAACAAAAGAGCGCATCACACAAACCATTCAAACTGGTTGGTTCCCACGTTAATGTGAGGAAGGCGAAAGTTGGAGAAAGAAATAGTATTGCATAAGAAATAGTATAACTGAATCATTGCAGTAGGAGGGCGTTCGTAAGCAGTACGCCCGCAATAACCGCGCGATAAAACGGTCAGGACATACACACAAAGTTGTAAAATCTTGAATTTGTTGCGAAATGTCAATTTTTTTGCGGACAGTCTTACGCTTCGAATTGTTATGATTCCATTATAAAGCGGCACCTTATACAGGAAACTGGACTATTTGAAATGACAAGAGGTCAATATTTATTTTTACTTGTTCACCAAACACTAAATTCTTAAACTCAAAATATCAATTTATCCACGAAATGAAAAGATATAATGAATAACAAATCATTTTATATCGGTTTATTTCAGAGACAGACAACACGGCAAGTCGCAGCTTTCTAACCGTCTTTTCCGTACATCAATTCAATCTCGAACCACGATCTCTTTTAATTAATTTTATTAAAAAGAATAGGTAATAATTCGAGAACTACTTCTACTTTTAATATTTATGATGTAGTTGCATAATAATAGAAGATTAAGTAGTTTCAATGAAGATAAACAAAATTATTTTTGTGAACTACGATGTCGGTATACTTGCAACGATTTAACTTAGACACCTAGAAAACAATTACATAAGTCCGCGGGTTCGAATTCGTAGCACCGAAAGCACAAATGAATTCGTCTTGTGCGGAATATCTCTCTTCCTTTCTCCTGCCCTTATACCAGTTAACATTTCGTATATATCATGTAGTGGTTATTGGCTACATATTTTCTATAAAAAATCACTAATAATCCTGAACTATAGGTCAGGTGTAGGTCACATAAATACTAATTCCGTGTGGGAATTGAATCCGCGAAACCCGACTTACTAACAACTTAACCACTGCACCACCGAGTCTATGCGCCGTAGCTATGAAACGGCAATTTAAGGTTATGTAGATTATTTTTTGTAAGAGGAACAGAGCCTTTATATTTGGGAATCCGATCTAGAATGAAAAAATAGACAATGCATAGAGGTGAGGAAGTAAATAGGGTCTGTAAAATAGCGTATTATCTACACACTACAAATCCAGGACGTGCGAGCTTTTTATACTGAGAATCACTTGAGTAATCGCATTATCTTGATGACATTTTGACTCTAACTCGAAAACGCTAATGACAGGATATCAAAACATAAAAATAACAGCAATAATTCTATCCGAATGGACGAATCATCAATAAATCCAATGACTCATTTCAAAGCTCATTTAGTACTCCAAAAACACTTAAAACGGTAAACTATTTGTGTAGTTCGTTTTGTGGAAGTACTAAGTACCCCATTTAGCACTGTACTAAATTTCATTCTTAATTTTAATTTTTATCTTTAAAAAATTCGCCGTTGCAAGTCTTCCACCAATAGAAATCCTTTGCCGCCAAAGTCCACCAGCCATCGTGACCTTGGGAGCAAATTAACAGCACGAAACAACGCGAGCACCCAACCCACGCGAAGGTCATCTCAGTTTTATAAAGGCCCATTTACACGGTGCCAGTTTCTTGCCTGTTGTATACAATTAAATTGAAGCAATAAATAAGTTGCATGGTCTAAACAACAAATGGTCTAACCAATTATTGCGCGCAATTTATTGCATTCAATTATTGCTCTTGCATGTACAAGAAAATGGCATCGTGTAAATGGGCCTTAACATACCACCTATGCACGCAATGAAATTCGCACCCGTTGTTCTTCCACAAATAGTTTTAATATAACAATTTAAAGATTTCCTATCTGTAATTGGATATAGTTTTCATGTTCAAAAAGGACTTTGTATCAGTAGACGGTCTGCTGTTGACTGGTAACACAACAAATTCTTTTTTTTTTTTTTTTTCACTTTGTTTTTGTTTTACAGAAATGTTATAAATTTGAATTTTTAATTGCTTCATCTACTGTATTTACTGTAGTTACTATATAATAATAATATACATAAAAATACCGTATTTACCATAGTAACTGTAGTAATAATTGCTTTTTTTGTAAAAAATAGTTTTTGTTTGCTGCCTTTTCCTCAGTAAATAAATAATTTTCTTTCTTTCTCTGCCTTAACATTTTTTTTTTGAAAAATGTTTCTACTGATAAATGGGTCCTTCATCAATCTATTTTGTTATAAGACATGGATATTTTTTTAGTACAATGTAATAGCTAACCAAAAATTTATAAATATCTATATCGCCAATGGGTTATATTTAAATACATTATTATACAATATTTATCAGTCATATTATACAATATCATCATTCAATATCACAATTTCAGGTTAACTCGGGAGCTTTGAATAAAATTATTAAAAGATATAAATATGCATTGATCAAGTATTTCTTATTTTTATAATAATTGTATGCATTTAGCTTATTTAAGCTACATGTGTATTTAATACTTGAACATTATACAAGGCAGAGTAAATCAGTAGTTAAATTGAAATTTTATTCATAGATAAAGAAAACCCACCCCTTAAACCTTTATTGGGTTCCATTGTATGAATAAAAGCATTATTTTTAAATTATATGACAGATATACACACCTTCCAATCCACTGGAGTGGCTACCTTAACTTTGTCGGTCAGTTGAAGTGAGTCTATCACACGCAGAATTTCACTATAACAGAAAAGGAGATAGATCTTTATGAAATTATTTTTTAATAAACTATTATGTATAAATAACATTAGTTTTACATTTATTGGGTAGTGTTCTTATGCATACAAATATGTTACAGTATATGTTACTGTTATTTTATTTAACTTAATTATGAATATCTATCATATGTTTTATTTCATTTAATATGTTAGTAGTTTGTAAGTAGCAGAATTTTCCAATTTTTATATATTTATGTACCCATGCCTAATCTTCTCTGTACCAACCGAGATAATTTAGCCTTTGACATAGTCTGCCTTTGTACTTTTTGTTAAAGAATAAATAAATAAAATTTGCTCCAGTTAATTAAATAACATTATTCAATTGTAGCTACACTACACTAAACAGCTATTCAGCATTCATTCACTTGTCTATTTGTATATAATTAAGTTTTTTCTAATACAATCATTTTCAGAAAAATCAACCTTGTAACAATATTTCTTTGATAGCACAAAGTCAACCAGTTCAAACACAATGGGCCGAAAAATGTTACTTTTAATTTGATTTAAAGTAAAAAAAAATTTAAAGAATTTTTAATATTGTTTGGTTCACATAATTTTCCACCTTGACTCTAATAAGAGCCATTATTCAATAAAATATTGTGGCACAAGGTTAGATTCTCTTCATGCTTGTAATTCCTATAAGGGAAGACAGAATGCTACAGTTTGGCAATAAAGCATTGAAAAGTGGTTGTACACAGTTCTCAATGCCAAACTAAGCATTATAATGTGTGTGAATTGAGAAGTATTTAAGAAGTTTGTTTTAGATATAAAGTTAAATAATTTAAAATAATACTACATTTACTAATTAATATTTTTATATGCATCATAATATGCAAAGACCTTGTTTTTAGAGTACACTATAAAATACCCTCAGAGTATGCACTAATATCTACATTAGACCATTATATAATCGGAACTTAACATTGCAATAAAAAATTACATTTAGGCTGATTACTACATTGAAATTGAGCACCAGCAATGATGGCTACAAAGATGAGTCCCCCTTTTAATATTGACCATAGCGTTATTATGGTATGACTAGCGACCCGCCTTGGCTTCGTACGGTTGCAATCTATTATACATACAAACCTTCCTCTTGAATTCTAACTAGTAAAAAAAAATCCATCAAGATCTGTTGCGTAGTTTTAAACATCTAAGCATAAGTAGGGACAGACAGACAACGGGACAACTTTGTTGTTGATATTGGCTTTGGTTCATGAGTGCTGAAGACATTTTTTTTAAGAGGTGTCCTTTCAAGATGTCACTCCAGTATGCCTTATGCATAAAGCACACTAAATGTATAAATAAATAGCAGCAATATAAATAAATAGCGAAAACCCTAGCAGTTATCTTTAGGGATGTGACAAAACATGTCAGTTGTCATGGGACCAGTTTTTCTATAATGATACAGCCTTTTTTAACTCCCTATTAAATATGATTTTAGTGCTGGACATTACTGACACTTATTTATCTTTATATCTACTGCTAGTAAGTTATGTAATTAGTAAATAATAAACCCAAACAAGAAATCTTACTCAAAATTTCTGCCAGTGGTAGCTGGGTAAAGAACGGATAGTCTATACTTTTTCTTAGGGTCAATGATAAATACAGCCCTGGCAGTTAGTGGCATTCCAGAAGTATCAAGTTCATCTTTGTCCACCATTCCCAACTTAGCAGCCAAATTTCTTTCCTTATCTTCAATAATCGGATATGGAAACTTTTGATCATCATTGCATCCTATAAATATTCATATATTTAGTTGCAGATAAATGTTATTTAGTAGTGTGTATAGTAATTTAAGTATAATAAGCTAAAAATAATCAAAACATTATAATGAAAAGGTTATGGTATAATACATTATTTGTACTAAAATTTAACTAATAATTTAGGTGTTTTAATTTTAGAAGTCGGCTTTTCTGGGGGAGTAACATGGCTTCACAGAACACCAAACATAAAAATTAGTGCATCTATGTTTTACTATTTTGTCTTATGAGAGAGATAACTGTGTTACCACTATCTCTTAATGGTTGGCATCCCTATGGTAACACAGGGCATGGAGAAGAAAAGGTGTGTAATGAAATGGTAATCACTCACCATGAAGAAAATTATTTGCTATTTAACCACTCTTCTCAAATTGAAAGCAATAAACATATTGCTCATGGGTTTCTATTAGAGAACAGTGGTTGATGTCAGTAGTCAAAAAAAAATGGGCTAAATTGATGATGATGATCTACTCTTATGTATTCAATTGTTTATAAATTAGTTCTTTCTTGATCAAACTCTTATTTCCCATGTGTAATGTAATTGCATACTACAATTCAGTTCATGTTTTTTCATTTTGTTATTTCATTTGTTAAATCCTAATATCTGCCTTGAAGCCATGTTAATACATTTTTATTATTGTATTTAGCCTTTTCTGCCCTACCTATCTATATACATACATGTTAGAAAAGTAACCTGTGAAATTTAAAAAATCAAAATGGGTAAGATAATAACATTCTTAATTTAACTATGGTAGAGCCACACAACAGCTTCTACTATTGCACAAATGGGAAAACTCGGTTAAGGAAGCCCTACAGCCTCACAAAAGACCAGAAAGACCAGAGTGAAGTTGAATTACTGTACTACTCGCATTTTATCTGGTGAGGGAGGTAACCAGGGTTCACTGTTTTGAACGGATGATAACTTCAGGTGTTATGAATGGCCTCAACAATCACTTAAGATCAGGTGAACTGTCTTCAAGCTAGCCTATGCCAAATTTATGATGACCCTATTATTGAGCTTTCTTCTTTTGGGTTGCTTTTCATATCAGGAAAAAATATTCAAAAACATGGGAAACTAATCATCCTCACATTTGATGACTTCTTTGGCTTATTTTTATTATTTTACTGTACAGTGTGCGTCAAAAAATATAGAACCTAGACCTTATATTGAATATGAAACCAAAATTATAATATGAATGCAGTCTTTAAAAAATGAAAAAAAAAGAGCACCTGCATAACTTTTGATATCCTTACACCAGTCAAAATGTGATGCAATAGTATCACAAGACAATCCAATTACTTTAACATTGCGTTTTTTAAACTCTGGGACTAAATTTAAAACTCTCGCAAGTTCTGTTGTGCACACTGGAGTAAAGTCTGAAGGATGCGAAAAGAGAATTCCCCAACTGAAATAGAACATTTGTACTGCGAAACTTTGAGAATTAATAAGTTTATTTTATACATAATCTAATTTAGAACTGTATTTTCTAACATTAGTGATCCGGAAATTTAGAATAACCCAATAGAATACTATACAAAACATACGTTTTCATTTAAAGCACGACTATGCGGACCTGTAGTGGTCGTATCAGCAAAATAATTTATAATTAGTGATCCGAAAATTTAGAATAACCCAATAGAATACTATACAAAACATATGTTTTCATTTAAAGCACGACTATGCAGACCTGTAGTGGTCGTATCAGCAAAATAATTTATAATTAGTTGGATAAAATAGAACCAGGAGATGCAACTTACGATTCGCCAAGCCATTCATGAAAGTCTATATCCCCTTCTGTAGTAGTTGCGGTAAAATTTGGGAAAATATCACCCAAGAGAAGCATCTTATAAATGCTGAAAGTTAGCTCTATGAAATGCAATAAAAATTAGGGTGTTAATATTTACGCAATTCTAAAGATATGTTCGATTTATTTCTCATGTAGGATTGTAGCGGTACGTAAGACTAATTAGAGAAAATTAAAATTTGAGTAAATCTGAATTCGTAACAAATGCTTTTTCTATTTTCTTTTATAAAAGTGGCAAATGTCAAAACTTACTGCCAGTGTTAAAAGTTGTACCTATATAATAGTTTCTTATACATATATTTCACACAATCAACCAAATTAGGATTGAGTTGAAGTTATGTATCTATTGACAACTTATGTCCTATGTACTATTCAATATTTATTGAAATTTACCAATATTAACACAAAATTATCATCACAAAACTTAGAACGCTTCAAAGTACATACAAATGAAATTCCCGCCAAAACTTCTTAAACATCTACTCAAAGCTAAGACATATATACTGAAATTTTTATACATATATAATACTGAGATTTTTTTTCTATGACAACTGTGGAGGGTAGCGTAAGGATGCCTAAAAATATCGATATATCGATAATTTTTTTAAAATATATCGATATTTATGGCCGACATATTTTGATGCGATATACCGATATAAGAAATTGAATATGGAAATCGTACATTTTTTTTCTAACTAATTCATAGCCGAAAAAGACAAAAATGAACTGATAAAACTGTGGTCTATTACTAATATTGTCGCGGATGCAAAGTTGTATTTTGTACTATAATTATGGTATTTATACTACAATTTGATGCTTCGTACTTTATGCTATCCATATGTTAGTTACAACATGAGAGATTAGGCAGACCCTGGCAATAGCCGGGATTAATGCCAGGTAAAAGAAGAAGATTACAAGAGATAAGAGAGAGTGAAAAGGTGTTACAAATCATTAATTTTGAACTACATATTATGTTAATTTATAAATATCATGCAAAATATTAATGGCATCAACTAAAATTACTCTAATTTAATATGTAAATAAAGTTAACAAAAATTTAATTATAATCAAATTTTCAAAAATTAAATGTCACATAATGTAATTATCGAGTTTTCATAAAAAAATTATTTGAATTCACAAAAATTATTATCATTTAACCACATAAGTAAGTAACTTATTTAAATTGTCGTTCAGCATTTTCATGTCAATCAAACAACTATTACTAAATTCTGTTGACCTTATAGGACAAGTCTCTGCGGGTGTCTTTTCGACGCATTATTAACTTCGTTTTAAACAATTCTTTATGTTTTTTTTTACAAAGTTACATGTTTTTTAATTAGGTATTTTTTGTTTCGATTCAGGGCTAAAGAAACTAATTTAACTTACTAAATAAGCTGTTTGTTTTTTTTTCCAATGAAGGTCTTGATAATATAAAATAATATACCTAGAAATAAAGATTAATAAAACAAATTTGATTAAGATTAGTAAATAATTAACGTTTTATTAAAATTTCTCATTCATTTAAATAATGTGAATTTGGTATAAAAATTACTATTACTTAATATTGAATCAGGCTGAACTAAATACATTATTTTTTTAAAACTTAAACTTTGACCGATACATCGATATTTTTTTTCGATATATCGAGGCTGATATTAATATTTTTTATATTTTATTTTATATCGATATTTTTTACGACTTTCGGTATCCCTTTAGGTAGGGACTTTAGGTAGGGGCAAGGTAGGGGTAAGGAGAACCAAAGGAGAACAATCACAATCACTGTGAATAAAACATGTGCATCAGAAAGCATCGAATTGGTAGCGCAGGCACTATGGTAGCAGGTGGGTAATATGCAGAGTTGGATTTAGGTATGATGAAAAAGATAATACAAAAGTTTAAAAGTAAAATAGTATTTGTAAAGAAAATATAGTACAATTTATAATTTTGATTTTAACAGGTATTAATTTACTCTTCTTCCAAATTTATCAATTCGTCAATATTAGTTTCATCTTAGAATTTATTTTTTAACATATCGTCAGTAAGAATAAAATTAGTACAAATTCCACTTTTTTACCATCTTTGTTTGCGTCACAACATAATAAAATGGCATCTATGGATTATGTTTATTTGTTATCTTAGATCTTAGTTTAGCAACATTTAGCAAATAATAAATCAATCTTACTATTAGACATCAATGAACTTTATGAACTACCAAATAGTGAAATATGCTAAGTTGTTCTTCAATACGTACAGAAAAAAATAACAACGATAAGTCCCCGTAAATAGTTCATTGATAAAGAATATTTATAATCCGTGATAATAATTGACAAAGGCATGCGGTAATATCCAAATTGTATTGTTTAAAACATTACAAAGTTATTACAACATAATAAACCTTTTTTTAATTATGGATTGCCATTTGTATTGGTCATATAAGTGAATTAACGAAATTATTGTACATTTCCGTAATATCTTTAGATATGAATAGTAAATAGTACGAAGCATCAAATTATAGTACATATACTATAATTATGGGACAAAATCCTACCCTGGTAATAGGGATGCCTATACAGCCAATTAAAATTTAGCAAAAAAAAAATAGCGGGGAAATTTTCTTAAAAAAACCTTATTTAGAAATATCATCAATGGCAGTATAAAAAAAATTGGAAGGAACAAGATTTCCCTAGCATTTTCCAATTTTACTGCTGCTAACACTTTTATTAACTATCTTTTTTTGTCTACACAGAAGTTAGAAGCCTGGTTAAAAGGTTGGATTAAACCTTCAACATAACCAGGATGGGTATTGTAAGAGGAGTGCGAACTGAATGGTTTCCAGATGAAATTAAAAATAACATAACTGTGCCAATGGCTTGTGGTGAAATTTTAAAAATAAGATGATTAAATTATAAAACAACTACTGATGGGTCTCCAGTTTGGAAACCTTCACAGACAGTAATAACATTTGATGGTCAAGTTCTCCCAAAACACATTTATACGTGCTATCTTATCCTTTAAACGAGCAATTCTTGTATATATATATATATATATAATCGGAATCTCGGAAACGGCTCCAGCGATTTTCATGAAATTTAGTATGTGCATAGATTCGGGGGCGGAAAATCGATCTAGCTAGGTTTCATTTTTAGAAAATGTCCTTTTATCCCTGTTTTAGGGAATGGAAAATATAATTCGAATATGACGGTAAATTTCGCCGCAAGAGCAAATGTCATAATAGCTCGGTCGGTAATCGGGCGGCCCCAAAACAGATGGCCGTGGTTCGCGTCACTATCATTTACACATTTTTTTTTTTACTTTTTTTTCGATTCCAGATCATTGCTTTCTTTATTTTTAATTTTTTGTCGATTTGTTATTTTGTTATTTTTTTCCCTTTTTTTTAAAGTTCTTTCTTTTGTGAAAAACATCAGTTCATATTTTCTTATTATTACGTCGGTAAGATCGAAAAATTAAATTTCCAAAATACACGATTTACCAAAAAAAAAAAAACCGAGCAAAGCTCGGTCCTCCGGGTACTAATGCTTTATCTGTCGAACTTTACACATATCCTACTACACAATGTTACAACTGCTGTCGATGGTCACACTAAAATTCAATGTAGGTCCAAACTACGCTGCTTTAAGTGTGGAGATGTTTATACAAGTGACTATTGCAATAAAGATGATGACTGTGCTTTTTGATTCCTTTGGTCTGGGTCACATTTTTCTATTAGGAAATCATGTCCTAAATGGGCTAGACAAAAGAAATAAAATCGACCATGGCACAAAACTACATTACATTAAAGATGCTTCCAAAATGCTCCCACATACAACATTCTTTGTCGTCACAGATTAACCAAATAGAAAAACTCATATAAAAGGACAGTATCTTTAAAAACTCGACCTCTTCCCGTTTCAACAAAGGCTATGAAAGCAACTCATCAAGCTCTAATTAAGGAGTTTGAAATCCCAATGTCGTCTAATGCACGTGCATTAACACCCAATGGAAATGAAAAACAAGATATTTTTACAGATTTAGTACCTTTAAATAATTCTTTGTTACTAAGTAAAATAATTTCACATTCCTAAACAAATTCTTTACAATGGACAATCAAGCTAAAGTTATATAGTGGAATTGCATAAGTATAGTTAAAAAAAAAGTGAATTGATATATTTACATTGAAAATAACTGGAAGAATTGACACTATAGACAGCGAGTCGTTACCATCGCGACAATAAAGAAAATATTAATGTTAAACAAAATCCATAATTAAAAAAAAATATTTTTCTAACAAACTAATTAAGTAAAAGTGAAACAAAATTTGTAACACCTATAGAACTCGCGTCACAGCGTCGCATTACAAGCCTCTCCTTCTAACAGTATGTTTTGTCTCTTTTAAATTCATTCAACCCATTCATATGTTTTGTGACCTTTACAAATGAACTTTTGTAAAGGTTACAAAAGTTACAAAACTTTCGTTACGCTTTTATAGGTAAGGGTGTTCTAAAATTCTTTGTTTTGGAAAATTTAATAACTCTGTAAATATTGATGTTTAAAGAATTTAAATGTTTAATACAACTTTAAAAAGTTATCCCTTATATGTGTGTTCATTTATTGTCGCGATGGTAACGACACGCTGTAAACAGGGAGATTTTTTGAGAAGTGCCCAAATTTACACAGGAGGTTCAGACTCTGTAGTATAATCGTTTATTGAAATATTGGATTTTTTTTCCAAAAAAAAAATCCATTCTATTCCCTAAAAAACAGAACGTGTTGAGAATGCGGTAGTCATTCATAAATACCTAAATTTTACTGTGCACGAACTTGTGTGCGTGTTAGTTATGAATGATCGCGCGTAAAATAAATGAGTTGCGTATAAATCACGCACTTTTTGAGATAAGTTCAAATGAATGTAATCAATTACTTACGAGTGATTTTATCATTTTTATATTTATTATATACATATTTAACATAATTTAATTAAAAAAAAATGTGTATCCACACTTAGAAAAGCCACCCTGTATAATGGAAATTTAATTTTGTTG